GTTTATCAACCGAGATCTCAATATGTATCATGCTGAAACAAATACCCCTGCCTCGGCCAGGACTTCCAATTTAAACGAGGAGCTTGGACAGGTAGCTATTAGTCCATGTCGCATATTGCCACTACCGATCTATGCGACAAAATGTTGCTTGTATGATATAGATATCCATTTTGTTGCTAGTAATTTAACTGTTGCTAGATTATTATTTTCAAAATATATATACTTTGGTATTGTGCTCACTGCAGTTGCAATGACTATGGTATCTTTCAGGTGGAATACATATTTTCTGATAAAACTGGAACACTGACGAGAAATTTGATGGAGTTCTTTAAATGTTCAATTGGAGGAATAAGTTATGGAACTGGTGTCACTGAAATAGAAAGAGGGATCGCTCAGCGTAATGGCTTAAAAGTTCAAGAGGTATAATCCCTTTTCAGATGGGGAAGTTTCTTAATGCACTATGGTGCAGTGGAAGCATGTCTAATTTGTACCGCAACACATATTTCAGGAGGAAAGGTCGACCGGGGCAATAAGAGAGAAGGGATTTAATTTCGACGATCCAAGGCTAATGCGGGGAGCTTGGAGAAATGAACCTAATCCTGATCTTTGCAAGGTACCATACTTTCATTCCTAGAGATTTGGCTCACCATAAGTTTAACAATTGTAATAGCTAAGAGGTGATTGAGTTATAGCCTATAGGGCTAATCTAAAAGATTTCTTACTTACGACGTCTTTGATAGGTGTTGAGATGTGAACTTGTAAGGTTGTTTGGTTTAGCCTTTTGGCCCGAATTCTAGATCTTTGCCTGCGAGTCTTATATTAAAATCTACAGAATGGTTCTGATTAGACCGTCTAAAATAGTACATTTAACTTATTATACATTTGATATTTGTAGGAACTTTTTAGATGTCTGGCCATCTGTCACACAGTCCTTCCTGAAGGTGATGAGTCCCCTGAGAAGATCGTCTATCAAGCTGCATCTCCAGATGAATCTGCTCTAGTTACTGCCGCGAAGAATTTTGGTTTCTTCTTTTACAGGTAATTCTCATTACATTTCGGTTTCCAAAGACAAGTTGAATTCCAGGCAATCTGACAAGATAAAATTGCTACTAGTTAACTTTCCCCATTATTGCTATAGTTCTAAATGTTAGATTTTTTTCCCTATGTGCTTTTGTTTCTCAACTCTTTCTGGTAGCTAGTTTGAGACTATTTTCTTGTATTTTCAGGCGTACTCCAACAATGGTGTATGTTCGCGAGTCTCATGTGGAGAAGATGGGAAAGATTCAAGATGTGGCCTATGAGATCCTTAATGTTCTCGAGTTTAACAGGTCTGTATAACAGTGCGATGATTGTTTATTTTCTCTTTCTCATGATTTAAGCATACCGATGAAATTTTACACACTTCGTAACAGTACAAGGAAGCGCCAGTCTGTTGTATGTCGTTTCCCAGATGGAAGGCTTGTACTCTACTGTAAGGTAATATTGTTAAGCACCTGGTTCTCTCTGTACTTCAGGTCAAATTTTGATAGTTGCTTGGAATATTGTCCACAGGGTGCTGATACCGTAATCTTTGAGAGATTGGCTGCTGGTATGGACGATGTTAGGAAAGTAACAAGAGAACATTTGGAACATTTTGGATCTTCTGGACTGCGCACTCTTTGTCTGGCCTATAGAGATTTAAACCCTGAAACCTATGATAGTTGGAATGAAAAATTCATCCAGGCAAAATCTGCATTACGAGACCGTGAAAAGAAGTTAGACGAGGTATGCTATATTACTATTATCTCTTACCTACTTCCTTTTCAATGCTTGATCAACATTTTTTTGAGTAAACGATTTTGAAGATGGCTTCCAGGAGCAGTAACAAGAAACTTGTTTGTATAACAGAATGAGAACAGTTATAAAATTATGTCCTTAAGTAATGAGAATGGTTGTATTTTTAAGTATAGTGTTTGAGTCGCCAGGACATAGTTGATAGTTTTAGCTGATGAATGTGATGTGTCTTGATCCATGAAGGTGGCAGAACTTATCGAGAAGGATCTTGTCCTCATCGGATCGACTGCAATAGAAGACAAACTGCAGGAAGGGGTGCCTAACTGTATAGAGACCTTATCAAGAGCTGGAATTAAGATCTGGGTGTTAACAGGGGACAAAATGGAAACAGCTATTAATATTGCATATGGTAGGAGTGTGCCACAAACTGTTTCTCTTGGATCTTACTTTTTCTTTTTTCACTTAGATATCTAATCTTGGTTTTGTTGTGATACAGCATGCAACTTGATCAACAATGATATGAAACAATTTATCATCAGTTCTGAAACGGATGCAATCAGGGAAGCTGAAGAAAGGGTAATTGTTTATTGTGAATCATATTTTCTTGTGTAGGATTATCATGGAACACAATCATTTTAGTTATGTTGTATTAATATAAACTTTTATATCAGGGTGATCAAGTTGAGATTGCTCGTGTTATCAAAGAAGAAGTGAAGAAGGAGCTGAAAAAGAGCCTTGAAGAAGCTCAACACTCTCTGCATACAGTAGCTGGACCAAAATTGGCCCTCGTTATTGATGGAAAGTGTTTAATGTACGCATTAGACCCGAGTTTACGCGTGACACTTCTCAGCTTGAGCTTGAACTGTACTTCAGTTGTATGCTGTCGTGTGTCTCCGTTACAGAAAGCACAGGTAATTTCAGATGACTATTTCTAAATGAATTTGTGCATGTCGGGTCTATAAAGGGAGCTTATATATTATTTCTTTGAGCCGTCTTTTAAACTTAATATATGTGATTTAATTTCAGGTGACGAGCTTGGTTAGAAAAGGGGCGAAAAAGATTACACTTAGTATCGGTGATGGTGCAAATGATGTTAGCATGATTCAAGCCGCTCATGTTGGTATAGGAATAAGTGGTATGGAGGGAATGCAAGCTGTGATGGCTAGTGATTTCGCCATTGCTCAGTTCAGATTTCTCACAGATTTGCTTCTTGTCCATGGACGGTGGTCATATCTTAGAATCTGCAAGGTTAATTTTTTGTCTTTTGCCACATAACATTGCTTTTAATTTGTTTCAAAAGCTCTAACGATCGTTTGTTTCGCAGGTTGTCATGTATTTCTTCTACAAGAACCTCACCTTCACATTGACTCAGTTTTGGTTCACATTCCGAACTGGATTCTCTGGTCAGAGGTTCTACGATGATTGGTTCCAGTCATTGTATAACGTTTTCTTTACAGCTCTTCCTGTCATTGTCCTTGGCCTGTTTGAGAAGGTACTAACTTTTCTCAGTCTCTACTTTATACAAATGAACATATATCTTCAAACCATTGGGACTCTTCAATTTATTTTGGATTTGATGTCACTGTGCTCTTTCTAGGATGTGAGTGCATCCCTTTCGAAGAGATATCCGGAACTGTACAGAGAGGGAATACGCAACTCGTTTTTCAAATGGAGAGTCGTCGCAGTATGGGCTTCATCTGCCGTCTATCAGTCACTCGTCTGCTATCTCTTCGTGACCGCCTCGTCTTTTGGCGCTGTAAACTCATCAGGCAAAATATTCGGTCTGTGGGATGTTAGCACAATGGTCTTCACGTGTCTCGTGATCGCTGTGAATTCTCGCATTCTTTTGATGAGCAATTCCATCACCAGATGGCATTACATCACAGTCGGTGGCAGCATTCTTGCATGGCTCGTTTTCGCTTTCGTCTACTGCGGGATTATGACTCCACGTGATAGAAATGTAAAGCTCTTCTCACTCCTTTCCTCTTGAGTATAACTTTGCAAAATCTGATTTCTTCTTCTGTTCTCGTCTCTGCAGGAAAATGTATACTTTGTCATATACGTCCTGATGAGTACATTCTACTTCTACTTCACTTTGCTGCTTGTTCCTGTTGTCTCTCTTTTAGGCGATTTCATCTTCCAAGGGTAAGTGACTTAATATGTTTATTTACGTCATAACACTCTCTTATGGATTATGGCATGAGAGGATCTGTGTCTTTCTTGATGCAGGATTGAGAGATGGTTCTTCCCATATGATTATCAGATAGTTCAAGAGATACATAGGCACGAGTCAGATGCAAGCAAGGCTGATCACTTGGAGATAGAGAACGAGCTCACGCCTCAAGAGGCGAGAAGCTATGCGATATCGCAGTTGCCTCGGGAGCTCTCGAGGCACACTGGTTTTGCATTCGACTCACCTGGTTACGAGTCTTTCTTTGCGTCTCAGTTAGGTATTTACGCGCCGCAGAAGGCTTGGGATGTGGCGAGGAGAGCCAGTATGAGGTCAAGGCCTAAAGTACCAAAGAAGAAGTAGAGAAAACGAGATGTTATATACTGTTGTTGGTTAATTGTCTTTGTACATTTAGGCAATTTTCATCCAATTGGGCGGGGTTTTTTGTAGGCCTTAGTTTTTAAAATATGTGTAGAAATGTACCTTTTAGGTGTTAAACTAATGTTTGTGTTTTGCTTTAAACGCCATTTTTTATAGCTCCATTTTATGACTTATGTGGAGGGAGGCAAGAAGCATTAGGACTCAAAAAAATACTTCTTCCCCATGTACATAAATTTATGTGATTTGATACACACCTTTGAGGTCATTTCTTTCTCCTTTTTTTATTCTAGTCATATTTTGGGTGCCTATAAAATAAATGAAGTTTGAATGGTTCGGGGAACAAATAAAACAAGTGGCGGCTGTGTTGAGCACTACCAAATGTGGAAAAATAGGAACAAAGAATGGTCCAAATGGTTGAATTATTCAGCTTTGAATTGGTAAACGTTAAATAACAAAATTAGCTAAAATTCAAATTACATTTCTATAATAGAGGGACCTCTTTTCAGTATCAACATCAACATAAAAAAAAATGATGGTTTGTTTTCATCTTTGGTATCATTTAGAAACACAAAACAGAATAAACAAAGGGACATCTACAATGATACAGCAACAAACAAACAAACTTTGGAATATTAAGAAACGAAAAAAAAAAATTGAAGTGGTAAAAGAAAAAAAATCACAAAAAATAATCAGGAGTCTTGCGAGTGGTATCAGGTTCGACCTGTCTAGGTGCAGGATCGAACTGAAGGAAGTTCTGTTCCATCTTCTCTCCAATCTCAAGAATTGCAGCCATGTTTCCACATCTGTAACAGTAGTTTGGTGCACTAAACACCGTCACAACATTCTTCTCCTATCAACACACAAACACAACCCCCAAAAGATTCAGCGTTTTTGCAACCAAAACCCGATTCGAGAAATATGTAAACCGATTTTATATATATATACCTGACACCAATTAAAGCCTTCCATTACAAGTTGATGCGCTCTTGATATTAGACTCAGTCCATTGGTATGGTTAAATTGAGTGGCAATGTCCTGCCCAAATGTGTAACCAGCACCACGGGGAGATATCCCCCATCCACAACGATCGTCTGGATCAGACCACAGCAAATCGCACATTGGTCCTTCGTGGGGAACCTACAATCCCAAGAGCATAAACCAAATCAGATGATAAAACACACAATCACTGCTCTTTCAGAAGCCAAAACTGATAATAATTCAAAGCCAGAGAGAATCTATATTTAGTGAGTCCAATATAATGCATTTTATAGCAACTGTATAGTCAATACCTCCTGTATCCGATCCAAGCTTCGGATATTGTCAAGAGTATCCAGAGACGGTGAAAGCCCACCATGCAAACAGAAAACCTGAAATGGATTACAGTTGAGGACGAGAATCGAATACGGTTAAAACACAGAAGACTTGTAAGAAGAGAGAGCTCAAACCTGACTCTCTATGAGTGCTGTAAGAGGTAGATAATCAAAAAGGTCTGTGAAATACTTCCACACGTTTGCGTTTCCGTATTTCCTCAAGCACTCGTCATAAAAACCATAGCTGAAAACACACAAAAGCAACATGAACAGACACCGGAAACTTTATGTTAGTGTGAATCAGAAGGAAACCAAAAATAGATTTTTTCAATGAACAAAAATCTTACACTTGTGTAATTTGACGACTCTCATGATTCCCTCGCAGGATAGTGAGTCTGTCTCTGTAACGCACCTTCAGTGCCACCAATAGAGAGACTGTTTCTACTGAATAGTATCCGCGATCTGTACAGATACAGCCGAAACAACATGAAACCAATACACAAAACTATCAGCTCCAGCTTCAAAATAAATCAACCATACATGTATTGAAAATCAGACAAACCCCACAAAAGGCTTGAACTTTATAAAAGGGCCACAACAAAAATGAACATCATTATGCTTAAAGGCTAATGGTGGCCATACAGCAAAGTTATAACAAAAGCTTATCATCACAAGATTAAATTAATCCTCCTTCATAAGTTAAGAAAAATAACCACATCAGATAGTGAAACTAAAGAGACTAGTTAGCATTTCTCCATGAAATTCTCAAAAAATGATAAGGAATCTTATAAATCATCAACCTTTTCAGATTATCAATCATATAAATACTTGTCAAATCAGTGACTTGTCACAAGAAGCTCATTTAAGTATAACAAAGTTGCAAATTTCATCAACAGATGTCAATATTAAGCTTCCTCAAATCAAAACCAAATATGAAACTATTTGAAAATCCGGCGGATGATCGTTGCGTCAACATAAAACACGGATCTAACAAATAAATCGAGAAATCGAAATCCCTAAAAGAGAAAAAAAAAGTCATTGATTTGATTGAGAACAGAACAGACGTACCTACATAATCACCCATGAACAGATAATTAGTATCCGGCGGGTTACCGCCGATACGGAAAAGCTCAATTAGGTCGTAGAATTGGCCGTGGATATCGCCGCAGACGGTGACCGGACACTTAACCGGCTGAACATTCCATTCCTCAACCAGAATCGCCTTGGCTTGATCGCACAGGATCTTCACGTCCGCTTCAGCCAACGGCTTACACTCCATCAACTGCTCGATCTGACGGTCGAGATCCCCGTTGAACGGCATCTCTTCCTTTCTTCAAACCTTATCCAAAATCCAACGATTGGCCAAACAGAATCCTCCGATTCGAATACGGCGGAGGCGACGGAGGAGGAGGAGGAGGAGTCGCCGGTGGTTTAAGAGTTAGGAGGTGGTGGTGGCTCTGGTCTTCGGTTCGGTTTCTCGCATCACGCGCTTCTTCTCTGGAAATGGAAATGGTTTTTATTTCTTTGTTTCTAAATTTGTATTTATAATTTATGAACCAAATGAAATTTGATGTGAGATATTTTTGTTAGAACCGGGTCAAAAGGATACGACACGTGTCTTGTATCACTTAGGTAAACGGCGTCGTATGCGGATAGCTTCTTCTTTCTCTCGCAACGGCCAATTTTCATCTCTAACCTTCACAATGGAAGCGAGAATCAGCCTTCAAATTCAAATCCCGTGGAAACCTAATCGCAGATTCTCTTCCTCTTCCCCGCGCTTTATCAGAGCGTCTTCTTCAACCTCGCAGGTTCTGATTCCTCGTTTCTCTCTCTCTATGTATTTTCTCTTTTTATCCTTTTTGTTTTTGAAAATTTCCGATCATTTTAGGAGCCGAAAAGTTACAGAGGTCCGAAACCGAGTAAAAACTTGGTGGCGGATTTCGTTTCAAGTAACGATGACACAGTCCGGAGCTTGCCGATCTACGTCGGAGGCGCTTCTCTCCTGGCCGTTCTCTTCAATCGTGCTGTTTCCGGCATCGCTCCAGTTGCCGATGCTAGCAGGTAATTGCTCTCAGCTCATGTAATTTTTCTTCAATCGGAATCGAAACTAAAAATCTGGTTATACAAGTCGGGTGTATCTAATAACCAAATTGAGCTCATGTATTTTGTTGCGTAGGTGTTTCGATGTGATCGATTTTCGATTTTTGTGTAGTTGATTTTGAAAAGCTTGTTGTTCATTTTGTGTGTGGTTTACAATTCGTAGCTCGCAGTCTAGAGCAGATCTATTGGCGCTTGGCTTGGCCGTCACCAATTTATTGACCGGTTTAGTCTGGTTATCGATCCGACCTAAGACCATAACACCAGTAAGATCTCTAATCCTTCTCCTTTTCCATTCACTAACCAAGTGTGCTTATGACTTTTGGATGATTTGATGAGCAATGCCATTCTTGGTTTTGTTTGAAATCAGATAGAACCTGAAGGTGTGGAATGTAAAGTTATAGAATCCAATCTTCCTGCATCAATAGTCTCCGAATTATTATGGTAAGGCTCTGTTTCGTATCTCTTACTGTACAATTGCATATAAGATGAATGTTCTTGTGGAAAACAGTGAAATGAAATCGAATTGTAAACATTTGATATGAGTTTTCTTATCTATTTTGCTCAGGGCTTGGGAATCTCTCAAGGTAGCAACGTGTTGTGAGTCTCTGGTTATTGTTTACAATGGCATTTGCCTCATCCAAATAGGGATTGCTGCTAAATCTCCAGAAGAGAATAAAGCAGTCATAGTAAACACTGAGAAGCTGATGCAAGGATCGGTTTACCAAGGCGTAATGAAATCCAAAGCACGTAAGTAGTACGAATCTCGGTTTAAAGTTTTTTCTTTGTGAGAAATGTGTAGTTATCTAAGAAGAAGAAACGGTTTGTTTTTGTCAGAAAGTTACTTGGCCAATCTTTCTCTTTATCCTGGGAGATCCCAGCTTCCATTTCTGCCTGCAAATACACAGGTTTGTTGAGACTTTTATCAGCTCTATTCTTTATATAATGTACTTGTGTGACAGTTATTTTGTGTTTCTTTCTCTGCTTAGGCAGTGATTTTGCAGCCGCTTGGTGATAAAGGAATTGCAGTTATTGGTGGAAACACAATTAGAGGCTTCACGTCTTCAGATCAGGTAAGGACATTTTTAACTTCTCTATATTCGTTTGTGACTTAGAAAAGTTAAAGAACAAATCAAAGAGTTTGTTTGCTCCTCATATTTAGGCTTGGATATCTTCAATTGGGGAGAAGCTCGATGCGACACTGGGGAGACATTTTATTGGTTTTGATGCTAGCTCCCGAGTAACAAGCTGAAAGCAACTAAACCCGGAAAAAGGAATTGTAAAATCTGCACAAGTTTCAATCACTATAAGGTAACTCTTGGAACGAACTGTGTATTGTGTGATCATGTGGTTACATAAAGTCCAAATGAATGTAAAAAAATAGCTCCAGTTTCCAGATATCTCAAAATAAACACTTATACATTAAGCTTAAATACATTAAAGAGCTCTTTAAGCTTAATGTATTTCAAGATAAAACAACAAAATCTCTTCACAGGCTAAACTTTGAAGTGTTGTGTGTGAAATGAGCTTTTGGGGGATTCAGTTCTGTAGACAGGCGTTGGATTTGTGTCACCATCATACAGCTTTGTATCAGCTAAGTTGATAGTTCTGAAAGTAGTTGAAAATATCTGTTAGAATTGTTTAGTTTTTGTTCCGAAAACAGCCAATCAACTTTGAGTTTTATAGTTGACTATTTTCTTTTTTTAAAGATTGAAATAAATCTAGTGGGCATATATGTATTATGTAATGTAAGCACGTCGTTGAGGTGAACAGGAAATAGACTTGAAAAGAGTATATGTTACAGATCTAACATTATTACTTTCTTCTTCCCAATCTCTGACGTATACACAACCATGGAATCTGAGGGAGTGTTACTGCCCTTGTTCCACAAGCACCTTATGATGCCATGGAGTGATGTGAGGAAAGGTGATTGCTGTGGACGCTTGGAACCTATCAGTGACGGCTACTATTGCAAAATCTGCGATTTCTTCGTCCACAAGAAGTGCGGCGAGTCTCCTGAATGTATCCAACACACGTCTCATTCCATCCACACTCTTGAGCTTCGACGTTATACAGGACTTAGACATTGCGATTTATGTGAAAGGCTCATCGTGGATCTATACTATCGTTGTGATATCTGTAGCTTCAACATGGATCTACATTGTGCCAAGTACCCACCACCACCAGAGGTTATTGACATTTCCGAGACGCATGGCCACAAGCTCATTCTTCTCAAGACGAAGATCCAGTTCTATTGTGATGCTAAATGTGGGAAGATGGCTTATGGATTTCCTTACCTGTGTGTGGAATGTGATGTATATTTCCATGTGGATTGCGTATGGCAACCGCCGGAGGTCGAATACCCATCGGAGGTAAACCACTATTCCCACTCCTTGCACCCTCTTAAGCACACCATGGGTAAATTGCCAGACTATTCTGATGGAACATGTCGTCTTTGCACAAGAAAGATTGATGAGAGATTATTCTATCACTGTTCTTCTTGCAACTTCACCTTGGATATGAATTGTGTTGTAGAACCACCACCGCAATCTTTTCTAGATTCGAAAGCTCATGATCACAAACTCACCCTTCTCCCAAGACTCCGTACTTTTACATGTAATGCTTGCGGGTTGGAAGGAGATCGAAGCCCTTACATATGCATTCAATGTGACTTCATGATCCATCAAGACTGTCTTGACCTTCCACGCCTCATAAACATCAATCGGCATGAACACCGTGTTGCTCGCACTTCTGTCCTTGGTGTTATTAATTCAGTTTGTGGTGTTTGTCGCGAGAAGGTGGATTGGACTTGTGGGGGTTACTCCTGTCAGCGGTGTCCTAGCTATGTCGTTCATTCGATATGCGCTACCAGAGAAGATGTATGGAACGGGGAAGAACTTGAAGGAGTACCTGAGGAAGAGGAGGACATAGAGCCGTACGTGGTAATAGATGACAACACAATACATCATTTCAGCCACAAAGAGCATTATCTAAGACTCAGCGACAACTGCAAGGACAATAAGCATTGCAACGCATGCACCCAGCCCATCTCTCTCGAATCCTTCTATGGCTGTATGGATTGTGATTTCATGCTCCACCAAAACTGCGCTCAACTTCCTACAAGAAAACGGCATGTGCTACATAATGAACGGCTTACTCTAGTTCCAAGCGTTACTTTTTCTGTGATGCTTGTGCTAGAATGTCCAATGGTTTCAAGTACGAGCATGAGAATCGAACGTTATGTGTCCGGTGCGCTTCAATCTCTGAGCCAGTTTTCCATTCAAGTCATCCCCATCATCCTTTATTTTATTTTCCAGATAAAGAATATGAACTCTGCGACGGTTGTGACAGAAGAATAGTACATGCGCTCATATGCATTCGATATGACTGTGGATTTACCTTGGATTTCAAATGCACCACTTTGCCACAAGTGGTAAAGCATAGAATCCACGACCATCCTCTCTCGTTATTCTATGGCGAGGAGGCTAGTGGTAAATACTGGTGTGACATTTGTGAGGCAGAAATCAATACAAGGTCATGGTTCTACACATGTAAAGATCGCGAGGCTAGTTTGCATACAAAATGTGTACTCGGAGACTTTACAGGGCTCATGCCAAGGAGCACAGTAGAGGTTGATGGTAGATTATGTGAGGTGGTGCTAAATAACAGTATGAGTCGTCCATTTTGCAGGACTTGTAAGTCGCATTGCATATACCCTATCGTGTTGAAGATGCTTGGAACCGCAGATGAATACATTTGCTCTTTTCAGTGCATAAAACTGTCAAAATTGCCTCGCGTGATACGTGATGATAACGCCCGCAACTGGTTGAGAGGTAAAGATTGCCTTTTTCTGTTTGTTTCAAATTTTTTTAAGTTTTCTGAGTTGGTACTCTTTCTCTATACTCGTCTCACATTTGGAATTATTGAAATAAGAGAGACGAAAACCATCAAGCGACTGACATTTGTTCTTTCATAGCATTATATGTTTTTTTTTCTCCAAACTGATGTATTAACTTGAACTTAACAGGTCCATCGTATGTGTAAAGACGTAACATCGTGAATAATATTCTGGAGATAGTGGACTGGGCATTCTGCTTTTGGCTAATATATCTGCAACTTTGTTTTCATCTCTTGGAATCCATTTGAAAATCAGCTCATCAATCTTTAGGGCGATTTTGTTGACTTGATCGACAAGTTGCTTACAATCTTCTTCGAAGATGGATTCTTGATGGCCACGAATCCACCCATTTTGCATTTATTGATATATGTTATGTCATGAAATTGTTTGTGTTTGAAGTTTGAACATGCATTGCAAATCTTTTCTGGAGTTTCTGGCGATTATTTTTTGTTCTTTTATAAAAGATCATCATTTTCACAATCAACAAATGAATCTCCACGTTTCAATTTTTAAATTCACAAAAAAAATCAAGAGAAGGTCGAGCCACAGCGACCTTGACCTTATTACAAACAAACCCAAGAGACTTCCAAAGACAGAGCGTTGAGTTAACAAAAACGCCGACGTATTAGGCATTAGTTCGTTGATGTAAAGAAGCGACGACGTATTGAGCTTGTGAAGTTGTTTACTTTCGTTCCACATCGGTAAGTTTGAGATAAGTTGTGTTGTTTAAATAAGCGTGAGAGAGCAACGTAGGATACGACCTTACTTGAACAGGATCTGTTCTATAGGCTCGTACCTCAGTATCCTTGATTTCTAAGGAGACTGGCCCCTAAACCTGGTTGATGAACCATGACCGTGCGATCGGAGCGTGATTAACGGCCACGATCATCTTTCGGATGTGTCTGGTGCTGTAGAGGATCGTTACTCGGCTTGGCCTAGTCCTTGCCGGGGTGGTTGCACGGCGGTCTGACAGGCCTCTTTTTTGTTTATAACTTTTTGCCTCTGTACTTTTTGGTTTCTTATATTTTCACCCCTGAACTTTCTTATATAACCAAAAAACCACTTTTTAATTTTCACCGTTCCAATGAAAACTTTTTCTCTTCGACGTCCCTGAATGATTCCGCAATCAGATCGTTCCAGTCATAAACTCCATTCGGAAAGAACAAAAATTAAATTCATTTTAGTTTTCTTTCATATAGTCTACAAGAAAAGAGTTTCTGAAAACCTTTGTTATTCTCTTCAATTTTGAAACTCTAATGGGCTTTTTTGTGTTGTTACTTTGAACTGATTGATGGAGAAGTTTTGGGACCATCTTATAAAGAAACTTTTACCCGAGAAGGAACCTTTATGCTTGACAATTGAGACTCTATTGATGAAAGTTGTATTAAGATTTATGTGGACTTCATGAATTAAGGATGGTTTTGTAGAGTTTTTGAGTTCTGTATCCTTTTACGTTCAAACTCACTCATACCATTTATGTACTACTAAGTGAAAGGATTTGACTTCTTTTTCATTGTTTTAAGTCTCTACATGATGTTATGTGTAACAATAGTAAAACCATCATGTGATGTGTAAACTTCCCAAATTTCATTTGTGACCTTAATCTGGACCTTAATCTAGAAACAAGATCATGGGAAAGGTTTGACGCATCGTTTCAATTTAAATGGGCCAATTTATTTTCGTTTTCAATTTCTTGAGCCCGAGCCCAAGGCCCATTCATCTACACAACTAAATACGACGCCACGCCCTACGCATCTCCATTCCCCACCTTATAAGGCCAAAACCTAGCCGCTGCAAGTGAGAGAGATCTTGAGTTTGTGTGTGTGTGAGAAAAACATGAAGTCAGAAGAGAGGGAGAGGGAGAGAAGACAAGATATCGTGTTAGTATTAGAACCATGGTCCGCAAATACCTCATTGGGTTAGAATTATGTGTCTTTCTCTGAATGACACAGATTTGTAGACTAATGAGGTATTGCTGATCATAGCCCTAGTATTAACTCTTGGATCTCTGTAAACGCTTGTTTTTGAAGTTATCAGTGGAACCGCTTCAATTCTGGAAAGGATATACATGTGTAAGAATATCTGACCAAGATCTCTAATGAAAAAATTGTGTTGATGAACCATGATCTTGCATGTGAAAATGTTTGTTTGTTTAGTCCCACATCGGTAACGTAGAGATGACAATTACTCTAGTTTATCTTGTAATCTTCCGATCTCTGTGTGCATTTGTCAGGTCATTTAGCTTTTGTTTGGATAATTATTTTAATCCCTCGGATTTTAGATTTAGAAATAATTTTTCTGGTCAACTAAAACATTCTTGAAAAGATATACATGTGTAAGAATATTTGAACAGAATAATCGAAAACTAAAATCTCTAGTGAAAAGAATTGTGTTGATGAACCATGAACCGTGCATGTGAAATGTTTGTTTATTTTGTCCCACCTCGGTAAAGAAGAGATTACAATTACACTGTTTGTAAGAAAGAAACAGATTGCAGCTTCCTTATGAATTTTACCATAAAGATTACAATTACTCAAATGGATTAACTTTGTCTTCTGAGGTCTGTGTGCATTTGTCAGGTCATTTAGCTTTTGTTAGGATAGTTTAATTTCAATCCCTGGGATTGTAGATTTGAAAAGAATTGTACACAACCTTTCTTTAATCATGTGGTTACGCAAAGTCGAAATGAATGTAAATAAATATACCTTCAGAAATATTTCACAAACTAAACACTTGTACAGTAAGCATATAGTTTTTATGTATTCCAAGATAAACCAATAAAATCTTCTTCACAAGCTAAACACTTCGAAATGTTTCATTGATCCAGCAAGGAATTTCATAAAAAGCTGCAAATTTAAATGTCATCAGTTCACAATCAAAAGATTCAAAAGGTCCAAGTTTCAATTTTTAAATTTACAAAACAAATTGAAAACGTTACCTGAGTAAGAGAAGGTCTTCCAGACACAGAATCACGAAGAGCCACAGTGACTTTATCAGACGAACCCAAGAGAGACTTTCAGAGACAGAGCGTTGAGGTAGCAGAAACGTCGACGTATCGGACTTGGGAATATGTTAATTTTGTCCCACATCGGTAAGTTTGAGATAAGCTGTGTTGTTTAAATAAGAGTGAGAGAGCAGCAAAGGATACGATCTTACTTGAACAGGATCTGTTCTATAGGCTCGTACCTCAGTATCCTTGATTTCTAAGGAGACTGGCCCCTAAACCTGGTTGATGAACCACGACCGTGCGATCTGAGCGTGATTAACGGCCACGATCATCTTCGGATGTGTCCGGTGCTGTAGAGGATCGTTACTCGGCTCGGCCTAGTCCTTGCCGGGGTGGTTGCACGGCGGTCTGACAGGCCAACTTTTTGCCAAGCCTTTTCCTTTTTTTTTTTTTAAACTTTTTTGGCCCTCTATTTTCTTGTTTCTAATATTTCAGTCCATAACTTTAAATTTCCATTTTTCTCTTGAATTTTGAAATACTTATGGGTATTTTTTTAATTGTTGTTGGTTGTTACTTTTAACTGATTCATATGTTTGGTTCATGGGATGGAGAAATTTAAAGACTATTTTATGAAGAAGCTTTTAGACAACGACCTTTAGTTTGAGAGTTGAGACTCTATTGATGAAGTTATGGTTTAAAATATGTCATGTTTTCTCTGGAATTACTGAAAAGTTGAAGATCTTTTATGGTTAAAGAATGATCTTTGCTCGATATATTTCCCCTGTTCGGGTTCGCATGTTATCTCTAGAATTACTGAAACCTTGAGGACTGGTTTGGTGTTTATATGTTATTACAAAACATTGAGCCATAGCTCTGAATTTGAGAGGATTATGAGACTCAGTTTTCTAGCTTAGAGGATAAGAATCTGTTTGGTTTGGACATTGAGAAGTTCAGAAAGTTTCTTGCTTACAATATTATATCCTTTGATTGACTTATAATGTTCTATTTTTCATGGCAAAGACGCTGGAAGTTTTTTTTGGATTAACACAAACTTAAAGGATTTTGACGTGGCTTCTGTTCGCTCCAAACCTTATTTGATCTTAGGCTTTAAGTCTTTAACCTTAGGAGTTGAAGCGACTAGAGGTTAGAAAAAGCAAAGAAAAAAGCTGTTCCATTGTTTTAGGGAACGAGGCATGTAACATTCTTCCTTTCCAGAAACATGGATACAAGGGATTGAATAGGAGGATGAAGCCACAAGTACAACACATCGTTCTTACTTTCATATAAGCTGCTATGAGTAGCCCCGTGACCTTACATGTTTGCTCTATGGAGATTTATATTTTGTCTATATGACAAATAGTATCAATATGTAGAAGTACTTGTCTAGGCACAAATCACCAGGGCCGACCCAAATTGGTGGGGCGCCTAAAGCAATAAATTTTTAATTTTGGCCCAGAAAAAAAGACAATAAAAACGTCAACCCAGATTTGAACTGGCGACCTTGAGCACCAGAGGAGGACATAAACCACTAAACTACAAGCACTTTTTACAGTTTTGGCGCCCCTAAAACAGTATATAGAATTTGGCGCCTAATGCGTGGGCTTTACTCGCCTTAGCTACGGGACGGCCCTGCAAATCACAATCAAAAGTCTATGTTGGTGTTGGCTTTTGGTTTCATAATTTTCATTCTAGCAAATATAATGACCAAACAACAAAATTTGATTATATATACAAAATTGCCAAAATTTGAAAACAGAATTCAAAATCTTATTAATCCAAAAGTTCTAGTTATGTAATGTAACTAATAACTCAAATAGGAACACGTAAAACAAGTAGCACCAGTGGTCTAGTGGTAGAATAGTACCCTGCCACGGTGCAGACCCGGGTTCGATTCCCGGCTGGTGCACTGAGCTGTGATGATTTAGGCTTAAGCGAAGTTTGGTTCCTTTGCACCTCTCTGATGATTATTCAGATGATAATTGGCCTTGTAACTGAGCTCTTTTTTTTTTCTGAATATGTGATTTCGAATTTTAGAAATAATTTATTTTTAAAATACATCTAAACAGAAAAAATTCTTTCCGCATAAAAACATTTTTAGTTTCCTTCTCACCTTCTTGTGTCTCTAAGATAAGATTCTTTGTTTTTCTCCCGTTTTGTTAAGTTTGATGATCTTGTGAATGTTTTTCAGGATGTATGACACAAATCTGTCAATCATATAAACCTTTCCACGAGCTGTATCGATAAGGAAACAAAAATCAAAGTTTAAAACCATTGCACGCCTACTATTCTACTGTGAAATAGATAGAGTTTGGTTTGAAACCAAGCTTATTAGGGTAAGCAGGAACAGTGATACCCAAGTCAAGAAGCAAGGCCTAATCACCAAGAGAATGCACCTCAACAAGGCGGTGTGAATAAAAGAGTGGGACTACTTTAGGATCTTTCTTGTAGACATAGAAACTCACATGGCTTCCAGTGGTGATGCTCTCTACCAACAAAACCTCTCCTGCTCTTGTTACCGCAATGCTGGTATGGGAAAAATATGGAGTACGAGGAGAACGCATTTGGTATGGAACACTCTCACTAACATCCACAAAACCTTGTGTATGATATATATATATATATATAGATTGGTTTGAGAGTCAAGCAAGAGAAACCACTTACCCGAGTTTGCAAGGAAACGAGTCCCTGAATAGTCTCTCAAAGATCTGTAAACCTTGTCTTCGTCTGGATTGTACAGCACGCAACCTCCGTTGTCTGTGGAAAGTATGAGCCAGGGAGATCCGGTTTTGCATGGGACTGTTTCTTTCCAACCGGAAAACCAGTTGGAACAAACCGTCTTAGCGCGTTGGAGATCCACAAAGCTTAAACGTTCGAAGAGAGATCTGATGATATCGAGAGGGAGCATGGACAAGTTGGCAGGATTGAAAGTTGATACGTTTTAAAGTTTTGGTTTCTTGACAGAGGTAATGAAAACGACAACGTGTTTGGCATGTGAAGATGTTTGTTTATTCTGTCCCACATAGGAAACACAGAGACGATTTGTGTTGTTTAAATAAGAGTGAGAGAGCAACGAAGGTCACGACCTTACTTGAACAGGATCAGTTCTATAGGCTCGTACCTCTGAATCCTTGATTTCTAAGGAGACAGGCCCCAAATCCTGGTTGATGAACCATGACCGTGGAATCGGAGCGTGATTAACGGCCAAGATCATCGTTGGATGTGTCCGGTGCTGTAGAGGATCGTTACTCGGCTCGGCCTTGACCTTGCCGGGGTGGTCGCACGGCGGTCTGACAGGCTATTCTTTTTTTGTTTATCACCTTTTGCCCTTTTACTTTTGGTTTCTTAGATTTTCACCCCTAAACGTTTTTAGACTACCAAAAAAACCCTTGTTGCTTTTCACGTTCCAATTATAACTTCTCTTCGAGGACCCTGAATGATTCTGCAATCAGATCGTTCCAATCATTTGGAAAGAACGAAATTAAAATCGTTTTAGTTTTCTTTCATAGTCTACAAAAAAACTGAGTTTCTGAAAATAGTTTTCACCTCTTCAATTTTGAAATTCTGATGGGCTTTTTAGTGTTGTTTACTTTGAACTGATTGATAGGTTTTGTTCAGGAGATGGTGAAATTTTGGGATCATCTTATAAAGAAACTTTTACCCGAGAGGGAACCTTCATGCTTGACAGTTGAGACTCTATTGATGAAAGTTGTATTAAGATTTATGTGGACTTCATGAATTAAGGATGGATTTGTAGAGTTTTGAGTACTAAGACCATTTAAGTACTGACTACTAAGTGAAAGGATTTGACTTCTTTTACATTGTTTTTCCATCAAGTCTCTACATGATGTGTAACATTGGTAAAACCACAATGTGATGTGTTAACTTTCCAAATTTCATTTGTGACGTTAATCTAGAAACAAGATCAGGGGAAAAAAGATTTTACCAAAAAAAAAGATCAGGGGAAAAAAGGTTTAACATACCGTTTCATTTAGAATGGGCCAATTTATTTCCGTTTTCAATTTCTTGAGCCCGAGCCCAAGGCCCATTCTTCTACACACATCAATACGACGCCACGCCCTAAGCATCTCCATTCTCCACCTTAAAAGCTCAAAAACCTAGCCGCAGCTAAAGTGAGAGAGGTCTCGAGTTTGTGTGTGTGTGTGTGTGTGAGAAAAACATGAAATCAGAAGAGAGAAGAGAGTTATCGTGAAAGGGAAGGGAAGAGGGAGAGAAGAAGACAATACATGCGGCTAATTTTAGAGCCATGGTCTGCTGAAGACTCGTTTGTTTAGAATTATGTGTTTTCCTCCCAATGGCACAGATTTGTAAACAAACGAGTCTTTACAGACCATAGTTTTAATTTTAGCTGATCTCTGTAAACACTTGTTTTTGAAGAACAAACTGGATCTGAGATAGAGAAGACAATATAGTTTTTAATATTAGAACTGTGATCAGCGAACACCTCGTTTGTTTAGAATTATGTGTATTTCTCCGAATGACACAGAACCATGACTGTGTGCATGTGAAAACGTTTGCTTATTTTGCCCCACATTGGTAACACAGAGACGAGTTGTGGTGTTGTTAATTGTTTTTGTTTTGCTTTGCTTTGTGTCCATTTGAGAGAAGCATCTAACTAGAAGTTTCTGTATCTGTGTGACATGATTTTTGGTATTTAGAAAACATTTCGCAACTGTTCACTTGTGTAATCAGTGATCACTTGGTTACATAAAGTCGAAAACGAATGAAAAAAATATAAAAAGAAATTGCTTCAGAAATCACAAACTTTAACGTATTTCAAGATAAACCAATAAAAGTCTTCTTCACAATTGGATGATGATTTGATTCAGTTCTGTAAACAAGCGTTGCGTTTGTGGTTTCCGTTTTGCGTTATGGTGCGAGAGACTAACAAATCAGTCGAGATCACGCTCAGTGACGTCTCTAAACCACGCACTCGTCTCTCCAGCGATTGCATTCCGTTTTGAGAGCTCTCCATGAACCTCTGGAAGAGATCCAACAGACTCGACTGTTGCTTCTCAATCTGACTAATCTGGTTTCTTATCAGCGCCATCTCTTCCGCATTCTTCGCCTGAGCCGACGAAGAAGAAGAAGAGCCACTAGTTCCTTCATGACTCTCCTCATCACTACTCTGTACAACAACAACAACTTGCGACTTCTTAGCTCCATTCTCTTTCACCTTCGATGGTTTTGGCTTCGCCGGGAACAAAATCCGTTTAGCTCCTCCTTTCAACTCCGCCGCAGCTTCCTTGCTGCTTCTTTTTCCAGAAGAAACTGATTTGGAGGAGGATGAAGAGGAAGAAGAAGGCTCTGAGATCTCTGTTGAGTCACCTTCAAGCTGCTTCCATAAGCTCAAAGTACGATTCATCGTCTCTCTAACAAGCTTCACTTTATCAAATCTCCTGCTCTCTAAGATACAAACGCAGGCTTTCTTATACAACGGAGCTAATTCTTCCTCCGCCGTGGCTATTTTCGCCAGAGCTTCTGCAGCGGCTTTCCTCGCGCGCCAATCGTCGCTGCTGAGAAACTCGGAGACGTTTGGTAAAAGCCAATCCAAAACCGATTTCTCGCTGTTTCTGCCGTTGACGGCTCCGATTACGCTTCCGATGGCTCCGAGAAGCTCCGGTTTGGCCTTGAAACCTTCCGATTTCAGCAATTTCCCGATCTTCGGGAGCGATTTCTGCAATTGATCGGGGTCGGGATCGTCTGCGGCTTCTACCGCTGCGGCGAGGCATACGGCGGCGCCGATCTGGGCGTTGGGATCGCAATCGTGAATTAGGGTTTCGATCAGTGGTGCGGAGATGGTGGAGAACGGAGATCCGGTGATGCCGGTGGTCATATCGACGGAAGCGGTTGCGCAGGCGGCGCGGACGGATGAGTCGGGGTCGCGGAGGCGTCGGAGGACGGTGGAGATCATTTTTGGGAGGTGAGGAGCGAGGGAATCGCCGTGGGAGCGAGAGAGGACGGAGAGGAGAGAGACGCAGTGTTTCCTAACAGGAGATTTCGCGGAGGAGTCTGTGCTCTGGAGACAGTTTATAAACAGAGAGAAAGTCTCCGGTGAGAGGTTGAGAGCGATTGAGTCGAGCTCTGCGGCGGCGAGAGAGAGCGTATCGCGATCGGAGAGACGATTGAGGCAGGCGATGACTCGTTGTTTGAGATCGGTAACCGTCGTCGTCGCCGGCGGTGAGGTAGACGGAGAAGAACGCATTTGAACGGAAGGCATGATTTCGAGAAGAAGAAATCACCGAATCAGAGATCGGCCATGGAAGGAGAGAAGAAAAAGCTTTTGTGGAGAAAGAGAAAAAGTGAAAATAGATTTGGCGGCAGAAAAAGGAATGAAGATGACAGTACGGTTGGTACTTGGGATTTTAAACACGACTGCTTTGGCTTGCCTTTTAAACTTATCATATTTCACCACCTTCCCACAGATTTTACATTTTACTTTAATTTAACTCCCGAACTTTCCTTTTTTCGACTTAACTCCAAAATTTCCTTTTTGTCGTATGAATATGTCAATTATAACTATATTTTTTTAATCAACGTCTTGTATCTCAAAATATATTCAAGATTTCAGAAATTGGAGGAAAACAGAATATTTGTTTTACTCGGTGACCATTTAGAAGAAAATTGGATAGGTGAACTAATCGAACAAAAGAACTTAAAAGAACCTTTTAAAATAAAAAAGAAAAAAATATATACAAGAATATGATATTGAATGATATGTGGAACAGAAGCTGAGTAGATTGGTAAGCATAAAAAGGTATAAAATTTGAAAATATATATTCATTTTTTTATATTGAAAAATAAAATACTATGCTACCATTAATTCATTACAAAGGTAAAACAAGATCTTGCACGTAATTCAAACATTTGAAAATACTTATTTACTATTTTCCTCTATTTTGTTACTTTTTCTTCCCTCTTCACTCGATTCTGCAACTAGAAAAATGAATACAAATGTTTAAATATTTCGAAAACTTTCGTCGACTTTATATACTGTAAGTTAGAATGAAGACAAATCTAATAGCTTTTCTCATTTATTTATCCTACATGTATCTTCATTTTTATTTTATTTTGTCAACAACATGCATACATGTATCTCATGTATCTTCATTCAGACTCTTGAAGATTGAATCATGTCCTCGAATCACTAATAGTCTAAAACTATCAGTGTTGTAAATGACAAATTTCTAGAAACAAATCCGGAAAAAATAAAGAGAAGGGAAAATCTAAGATTCCGCAAGATACTATTTTATTACAAGCAAAAGGAAACTATATCCACAATGTTACACATAAGCTGATGAGCAAGTCAAGCAAACACGGTTTCTCTGAACACGTAACAAAACGTGAGAAAGGAATTATTATGTTCTAAATAATTATTTTTGTATTTTTTTCTGAACAAAAATAATAATTATACTATACCTTTTTCAACAAAAAGGCTGTGTATTGATGAGTTCTTAAATTTAATAACTAGAATATATGTATATTGAAGGGGGGGAAAAAAGGTTCTCTATTTTCAAAGAGAAGTGTTCAATTTCAAATGTAATGGTAGTCATCATGTTTTCTCATATGAAAGCCTTTAACGTTTATGGGAACCATGTTTGTTTCTAGTGACTTATTTCGAGAAACCTAAAACTGCAATCTTACTTTATCCGATACAATACTCTCATCTAAGATTGCAGTTGTCATTTGTCATTTTTCTGGTTGATGATCCAACTTAATTAAAGACTAGTTATCTCGTATTCAAATAAGTTTTGTCTTTGCTGTGGTTACATATATCAAGTCTTAAGCCTTATCAAGTGCTTTTTTTTCCTATAGGACTTGATATTTTTATTACAACCAAGATGTGAATTACACCTAGCCCTCCTAAAACAATTCCAATTTTCTTAAGAAGAAAATGATGAATTTGCGAACAAAGTTGTATATATCAAACTTTTGTTTAACAAACCACTATTTAGGATAAAAAAAATACTAAAATAAAGGAAAAATAACTAGTTTTATAACTTCCGATTTCGGAGAAAAAAAATGGTGCTTGAAGGTTGTAAATCGTAGTTACCAAAATCTCAGTTCCATATCGTTTGTAAAAAGTTTAGTTTCCCGTTTAGTCGGGTTTATTTTCTAAGATTTTGAGCTATGTTAGAAAACAAACCCGACTAAACGGGAAACTAAACTTCTTACAAACACATGGAACTGAGATTTTATTTTTTTCTAAGATTTTGAGTTATGTAAGCCCTTTAGCAAAAATAAATAAAGATTTTGAGCTATGTTATCTGAAATTTGTGGGCTATTTCGAGTATATATATCTTTTCCTTCTTCTTCGGGTTATGGATTCCACCTTGTATTTTACCTTATGTCGAAATTAATAAAATCACTAGACGAGAAGAAAAGAAAAAAAAAACACTTTCTGTTAAGATTTAAACCACTTAACGTCATTGATCATACAAGGTGCGGTTAAATCATTATTAGGTAGTGTGGCCGCGTTATCGGACAAAAGAAGCACTCTCGACCAAATGAGTAATGACTATACACGGCTAGAAGACAGTTGGTCCTTTTCCAATAAGTTGCCCGATCCCTTATTATAGTCCAGTAAGGTAAGTCTTTCCTATTTTTAGGGGTTTGGGTATACTCTGATTTCAAATTGATTTTATCTCTTTCCCGCATAATAGAAGAAGATATAATTTGTAGTCATTTTAGAAGGATAAGAGATATAAACTATGCAAATATTATTATTTTTTACATATTGGTTACAAGCAAGGATAAAATCCAACATCACTTTGGATAAAATGGTGAATCAGTCTTGAATTATATTCATTTCATTCATTTTCCAGATAAAGACAATTTCTCAATGATTTTTTTTTGTTTTTAAAAATTGTTGCCAAAAACAAGTGATGATATAAAAACAATATATGATGTAAACGAATGAGATAAAGAGAAAAGAGAATAACAAAGATTTTCTTATTTCCAACAACATGCATAATTTGAATTTGGATGGTGACACATTGACAACATTAGTACAAAGTACATTCAATTATACTACACGTACATTTTTCTTTGCTTTTTGAAATTGAAATTCCTATTAATTTAAGACACAAGATCCCTAAAAAACCTGGACATCTCCCAAACTTTCTCCAACAAACGACAAGGGAATATGATTAGGGTGCAACAACACACTTTCCTATTTGGCCAACAAATCTGTACCTACATTCAAACACCAGTTTAATGGAACTAAAAAACAAAAAAATGGAGATGACTTGAATAATTGTATGAGAGTGGACCAGTGATAGCTACCTCTAGACAAAGTGTCGATTAGGACCTGAAAATCCGAGTAGAAGACCACATCATAAAGTTGTTAAAACGTTTTGCAAAAAAAAAAACTGTATCCAAACAACAAAAAGAACAGAGCGTTAACAAGAAAAAATTCAAATGGGCTGGACTTTTTCCATGGCCAAGCCTAATATTTCGTTCACTAAAACTGCTCCTTACTGTGGGCCTCAACGAGATAGAGGTGTAGAGAGCCTGGCCCATTAGGAAGATATAATATATATAAAAAATTAATGATTAGGGGCATTCGGAGAATTGAACTCTGGACCTCTCGCACCCTAAGCGAGAATCATACCACTAGACCAAATGCGTGGTCTTCTTGTAATATATGTTGAAATTTCACATTTTTGTGTATATCTCCAAACGAAAAATCTATGGATACATGCATGATATCACACATATAGGGGATATATAGTTACCATAAAAATAATTTCCTGAGTAGGAACCACACAAAAATGTTCTTTGGAGAAAAATTATATGGTAAAATGGTTGTGACAAAAACTTTGGTTCATGAACAATCCAAAACTACATCAAATTTTAAACATATGCAAGCTATATATATACAAATATTTTAACCAAATCTTAATCATAAAGCTTAAAGTAAACAAATACATCAACTAAAAAAAGTATACATGCTTTTTTCTTATGGTAAAAAGAAAAATAGTCAAACTATAGATATATACACATTTATTCTAAATCTACACTACACCACATACATATATCTTTGTGTATGGTAAACAAATATAACATAACAAAATTGAGCCATCTAAAAGAGTAATAAAACTTAAAGTGATAGGCTCAAAAATTGTTACCTCTTGCCAGTTGCCAAGTGCCAACTATGAAAAAAAAATTACTCATTGATCCCGGTTGGTTTGGTCTAATAAGTTTGTTTTGAGAGCCTTGTGTGGCCTTAATTTGACCATGGAAATTAAGTAAAATTCTCATTTGATACTATGAGATTAAAAAATTTCCAAAGCTTAAAAAACATTGAACAAATCCTGAAACCTAACTTATGGTAAAAAGAAAAAATACCCATATCTATAGATATGATATATACACATTTATTCTAAATCTACACAACATTCATTCTAAATCCACACCACATATGTATGGTATAAAAAATATAACAAAATTGAATCATCTAAAAAGAGTAACAAAATTTTTAAATGATAGGAAGATTATTATTACCCCTTTTCAATTGCCACTATGAAAAAGAAGATTCATTCATTTGGGAGCTTGTGTGGCCTTAATTTAACTTTAACCGCGGAAATGCAGTAAAAATCCCATTTGAAAACTATCTTTTTCACTCCAAAGGTTATTATTACATAGATAAAACTTTAAATGCATGAATACATGCGAGATAATAAACAGTTAAACACACTTGATTATTACCTCCGCATATATATATATACACACACATATACATACATACACACATTCACAGGCTCCTTCTCTTCCCTCTGTTGCTCGAAGCTTTTAGCCTTTGGTTTACGGCTAACACAAAAACTATTTCTATCTCAGAGAGAGAGAGAGAGAGAGAAACAGAGAAAGAGCAATAGAGAGAGAGAGAGAGAGAGAGAGAGAGAGAGAGAGAGAGAGACACAGAGAGATCCAAACCAGAAGCAATCTTCTTTTTCCTTCCTTTCTCTTTCGTGTGAAGATTCGTATCCTTTTTTTTTTCTCCGACAAACTCACGGCGGCTTACGTCGCCGATCCACTCTTCTATGAACGGTTTATCAGAAACCAAGCAGTTGGCTTTCTTCCCCTTTTGGGTAATGTGATCCGGTCTCTAACAAGGTTTGAAAAACAGATTTTTCTCAACTTTCCTCGCTTTCTCTCTTGTCTCTGATTCTTCTCCGATAGATCTGGTTTGAATTTGAATTCGTAACTTCAATTTCCTTTTCAGGGTAGTGTGAAAGCGTGAATCTTTTTGCTGTTTGATTTGTTTGAAATTTTCGATATTCCGGTTGAAGAAGAAATCAGAAAAGAGATGAAGAGGGTTAGAGAAGAGGTTTACGTTGAAGCTCAGATACGAGCACCTACCGTTTCTTCTCGAGGCGAAACGTAAGCTCTCTCGAATTTGTCTTCCTTTTTTTTTTTTTCAAATTCTGCTTTATGGGTTGTACGGAATTCAAAATTTGTATAATCGAATTGTTGTGAAAAATTGTGTAATTTTGTGTTAAATTTGTTCTTGGGTTGGTTAGTTATCTAATAGATTTTATGCAGAATTTACTGAATTTGAAAGTGGGAATTTAAATCGATTTTTTTTTGGACGTATATGCTGTGTTAAATGGTGGAAAGAAACTTCATTTTTGATGATGATGATGATGTTTAAATTTTGTTTCTAGGTTTGATTTTGTGTAAAATGTGTTCTTGGGTTAGTTCAAAAAATACTGCTTTTAAGTGGAGGAATTAATTCGATTTTTTTTTTTCCGACGAAAGAAACTTCATTTTGATGTTTGTGTGTTGCAGAAATGGTAAGCCTTTAACGATTGGTGGAGGAGGAGGAGGAACCATGGGAGGGCTAACAACAGTTGATGCCTTGAGCTATCTTAAAGCTGTGAAGGATAATTTTCAAGACAAGAAAGAGAAGTATGACACTTTCCTTGAAGTCATGAAGGACTTTAAAGCTCAGAGGTAATGGCCTTTCTTCTCTCTTTAAAGGCAACGAGCTTTTAAGCTCAGAAGATTGCTTTCTTTTGGTGTTTCTTCTTACAACAAGAAGTGTGCTCTGATATTTTGGTGTCTTGTGTTGGTTGTAGAGTTGACACTAATGGCGTTATAGCAAGAGTAAAAGAGTTGTTCAAGGGCTATGACGACTTGCTTTTGGGGTTTAATACCTTCTTACCTAAAGGGTATAAAATAACTCTTCCGGAGAAGAAGCCAGTGGATTTTGGAGAAGCTATTGAATTTGTCAACAAGATCAAGGTAATGATGTATCTAAATGTTGTATATTAAATACCAAATTTAGTCACGATCTAAACAGTTTATGTCATTTGGTGGTTTTTATTCCTGCAGGCGAGATTTGGAGATGATGAGCGTGCGTATAAGAAATTTCTAGACATCTTGAACATGTATAGAAAGGAAACCAAGTCCATCTCTGATGTCTATCAAGAGGTGTGTTTTACAGTAAAATGTGCTTAGTGTTGATTTGCCTAAAACTCAGATTTTCTTTTCTTGATTATTATCATTTGTTCCTACAGGTTACTTTGCTGTTCCAGAACCATGACGATCTGCTTGCGGAGTTTGTTCATTTCTTGCCTGATTATTCAGGAGCAGGTTCTGCTTTTTACCCTCATTCTGGAAGGAACGCAGTGCCGCGTGATAGAAACCTTCCTGGCATGCATCCAAGGCATTTTGAGAAGGTTTCTCTTTGTTCATCTTTCACAGTGTGGTTACTACTTACTAATGTTTCTAATTGTTCTAAGAGTGATAGATTAAGAGCAAATTGATGAGAGAATATGTTTAAGAATCTCGGTGGTTCGGAGTTTAAAATGAGATGTTGACATTGACTCTTAACCTGCCACAGAGAATAAAACTAAGGAGTAGGGGTGATGAGTATGCTGAACACTCTGATCAAAGAGAAGATGGTGACGAGAACCTTGTGGCTTGCTCTGCTGGTAATTCTCTGGGAAGTGAGTATTTGGATCCATTTTTTCATTTCTTTCCATTTTGATTTACAATGGCTTGGCTCAGGCCTGTTAAAAGCATAATCTCAAGTAAATGTCCTCCATCTTTCAGTGGTTTTGATACAAAATGAAAAGTAGTATGTATACATCTATGAGACATATCATCATCTTTTGTTAAATTGTGGTCAGTATTTATCTGGTGCTAAGTGTTAGATATGCTAATATTTGCAGAATCTCTTGTTAATCAAGGTCAATGGCCGGGATATCTGAAGGCAGAGGACAACGGAGGAATTCAAGACTATGAGAATAATGGAGGTCATGAAAGATATCCAGAAAATGGTTTTGGAAGTCAGAAAAATCTACTCTCTGCCTCCAACCATATGATCCCCAAGGCTATAAATGAACTTGATCTTGCTGATTGTGCACAATGTACTCCAAGTTATCGTCGTTTGCCAGATGACGTAAGCAAGCGCCTCTTAAACCTTTTAAAATAGTTTCATCTACCATACTTCACTTCAGTTCCAATGATCATATATGGTTTTTGGCTTTTCTCCTGTGTAGTATCCCATTCAGATGCCAAGCTACAGAAACTCACTTGGTGAAAAAGTTCTTAATGATCATTGGGTATCTGTCACATCCGGGAGTGAGGACTACTCATTCAAACACATGCGTAAAAACCAGTATGAAGAAAGCTTGTTTCGATGCGAGGATGACAGGTAAAAACCCTATATTTCTTTCTATATCTTGATTAGGAACCTTCCAATAACATTGGTGACTTCTTGAATGTTTTTTTTTATTCGGTTGAGTCTCCAATTAAGAATTGTACTTCCATCTGGTTTCAGGTTTGAGTTGGACATGTTATTAGAGTCTGTGAATGCAGCCATTAAGCGTGTGGAAATTCTTCTGGAAAAGATCAACGACAACACAATCTCTTTAGAGACACCAATTTGTATTAAAGAACACCTATCAGGCAAGTAGTTATCTGATAATATCTGGTTGTACTTTATGTATGTCTTTTGCTATCTTACTTGGGTTAATAATGGCCTTATATGTGATGATTTGATAGAGCTGAACCTAAGATGCATTGAGCGGTTGTACGGAGATTATGGGCTTGATGTCATGGATTTTCTGAAGAAGAACTCTCATATCGCCTTACCGGTGATACTAACTCGCCTGAAGCAGAAACAAGAAGAATGGGCTAGGTGTCGTGCTGATTTCAGGAAAGTTTGGGCTGAAGTATATGCTAAGAATCATCACAAATCTCTAGACCATCGTAGCTTTTATTTCAAGCAGCAGGACTCCAAGAATCTGAGCACAAAAGGTATGTTTTGTTTAGAAATGTTTTGTATCATTTATAGTGCCAAATTTGCATCAAGTAAACTTGTTTGAAATGTGCCAAAAATGCAGGTTTAGTGGCGGAAATAAAAGATATCAGTGAGAGGAAGCATAAAGAAGACCCGCTTCACGCCATTGCTGTTGGGTCTAAGCCCTCTTTCACGCCAGATGTGGAGTACTGTTACTCTGACACACAAGTTCATGCTGACTTATACCAACTGATCAAGTATTACTGTGAGGAGATATGTGCTACTGAACAGTCTGATAAAGTCCTGAAGCTGTGGGTGACGTTTTTGGAGCCCATGTTTGGCGTTCCTTCTCGGTCTCAGACTGATGAGACGATGGAAGATGCTGCAAACACCAAAGACGACCAAGAGAAGCTTGAGATATCTGAGGCAGTGAAAGACAATACTTGTGATGCTTCTCCAAAGACGCCAAACAAAGAAAACCCAACGGTACAAGGAAGCTCTTCTGCGAATGATCTCGCTGTCAACGCACGAGAAACCATTCAGCAAGATAAACTGCATGATGGTGCAGTTACTACTAATGAGGTAATTTGGTCGTATACACTTTTTACTGACTAAATATAGTAAAAGATTCTCTCATATAAACTCAAACCGATGTGAAAATGTTGGGAGCATAAATGAAAATTGCATTCCTTAAGTAGCAATTTGATGCCTTAATCCGAAGCTTATTTCATTATGAGACTTGAAGAAAGATATGTTCCCCTAAAGTTTTTGTTTGTGGTTCTACAGGTTGGTGAGCCTTCCAAACTGGTGTCACCGAGAAACGATGTGGTAATGGAAAGTGTAGAGAATCGTAGCAAAGTTAGTGATGCTGCAATGGTAGAGCAGAAGGTTGAGCGAGAGGAGGGTGAATTATCTCCCACAGAGAGTTTTGAGCATGACAATTTTGAGGTTTACACAGAGAATGTCATTGAGCCTGTGCAGAAACTGCCTGACAATGTTAGAAGTGACAAAGACGGAGAACAAAAAGAGGGAAGTACTGAAGTTGGAGAAAGAAACAATGCTTCCCCTGAAGATGATGGAAGTAAAATTACTCAAAAGTTACCGGAAGTGAATGAAAACGCCTCTAAGATTGTTATTGCCTCAGGAAGCAGCAAATTTGGTGGCCAGCTTTCTTCCGATGAAGAGCATAAAGGAGCTATGGTTGAGAGTGAAAACGAGGCTGTAGGGATGGGTAATTCCAACGAAGGTGAAGATGGAACCTTTTCCACATTCTCAGAGCGGTATCTGCAGCCTGTGAAGCCCCTTGCAAAGCATGTGCCTGGAACATTAGAAGCCAGTGAAAGTGACTCCAGGAATGATTCTCGAGTTTTCTATGGGAATGATTCGTTTTACGTGCTTTTCAGGCTTCATCAAGTAAGGACACAACCTTCTCAAGCTCCTTAAATGTCAATTGTCTTCAGTCTCAAACAGCTAATTCTGTTTTTTTTTTTGTTTTTCTCCAGATGTTGTATGAGAGAATACAATCAGCAAAGATACATTCAGAGAGGAAATGGAAAGCTCCTGATCCAGATAACACATCTCCTGATTCTTACACAAGGTGATTAAATTTCCAAGCTAGTTTTAAACTGAAACAATAGTTTCTTCCTTACTGATATGTTGCATCATAGGTTCATGGATGCTCTCTACAATTTACTTGACGGCTCAAGTGACAACACAAAGTTTGAAGATGAATGCCGAGCTATTATTGGAGCACAATCATACGTTCTCTTCACATTGGACAAGCTTGTTCAGAAGTTTGTTAAGCATGTAAGCTTCCATTGACTCTGCTTCTGTTCTCTTTCCTTTGTTTGTTGTTTACTGTACTGATCGTTGAATTTGCTTGGACAATGCTTCAGCTTCATTCGGTTGCAGCTGATGAGACAGACACCAAGCTTCGGCAACTATATGCGTACGAGAACTACAGAAAACCGGGGAGATTCTTTGATATAGTGTACCATGAGAATGCTCGTGCTCTTCTCCATGATCAGAACATCTACCGGATTGAATATGTAATGCTTCTTGATATTGTTGTGTATGGCCTCACATACTATACTAATCTTGTTCTTGCAAAATTTTCTATGCAGGCATCTGCACAAACCCGTCTCTCGATTCAACTTATGAACAACGGAAACGATCAGCCTGAAGTGACAGCTGTAACGGTGGAGCCAGGCTTTGCAAATTATCTGCAGACCGACTTTCTTTCGATTTTGCCTGATGAAGAAAAGCAAGGACTGTTTCTGAAGAGGCGAGTGAAAAAAAAATCAATGATAAAGATCATTTACCTTTTGATGTCTTCATTAAGTAATCATCTTCTCTCTTCAGGAACAAGGCGAAGTTAAGCAGTCCAGATGAATCTTCTGCAATGAAAGGATTGAAGATTATAAACGAGGTCGAATGCAAGATTGCTTGCAGTTCTTTCAAGGTAAATAAATAATTACACTGTCTTGTGAATCTAATTGCGTGGAAAGATCTTTTGGTGTTTCTCTAATGTGAATATATGTTTTGTCAGGTCAAGTATGAGCCAAACACATCAGATCTTCTGTATCGAAGCAAGCAGAAAAAACCAAAACCTGAGAATGCCAATGGTGAAACTTCTAGTAGCATTGAGATGTCGAGAAAGAGAAAATCATCGCGATTTCGCATGATTTTTACCCGCAGGCTTCTGGCCTTGCCTATATGAGACAAAGCTTCCAAGCACCGTAAGTAACTTCCTTTTGCGTTCATCAACCTCAATAATCTTCAAGTTGTGATAGATTTGGATTGTTTATGTGTGTAGGTGTGAAGTTCTTGGCTGAGATATTGCAAGCATCGGTTTAGTGGTAGAGAGACTAGAGACCAACTGTGTTTTTGAGAAGATTCTTGCATTGTTTTGGCTCAAAGAAATTCACGGAACAACAACACATTTCTTTTCTTTTTTTCTTTTCTACATTGCGTCTGCAGCCGCCAGTTTTGGTGTATAGTGTTAGATTATATATTTATATGTAATACCAGACAATGCTATAACCAGAGATTTTTAATTTATTATTCATTGAACACATATTTGGATACTTTCCAGCTAATGTTATGTTTCTCTTTTATTTAAATCAATCCTCTTGTCATTTCTTTATCTCTCATATAGTCATTACTGTTTCAGCAGCAAATCTTGTACCATTTTAATATTAGTGTTGAATCTGCCAATTACAAGAATCTTATCTGAAAGTGGGATCTAGTATGTATATATGGATAAAGTAATCATCTATGTTGTATACGTAATCAAAAGATTCAAAACTGAATTTGAAACCGAAAAATAAAAAAGCAAACTTAACAAAAATTCCATGTCTTTTTGAATTTTGTTGATGTATATTCTCCATCAATGTAATTATTATCGTTTAGACTTCATTTTAAAAAAATGTAATTTTTTGAGGTAGCTTTTGCCAAAAATTACATATTATTATAAGTTAAAACCTGAAAAAAAAATAACACAATTGAATGGAACAGAGGAAATAAGATATAACAATTTTGGGAAATTTCATAAAAATACTTCAACTAAATTTCAAAAAGCTTTTTAATACTCAACTAATTTTATATGCAAGAAAAAAAAAAACATCATTATGATGGTAGGTGTCACGTGACCCACATGAAGTAACTGCCACTGCGTGTAACAAACCTTCTGATACTCTCAGAGTCTCTTAGCAAATATCTACTTTTCTCGTTGTAACTTGATAATTCGCATCATCTTCTTCACTGGAATTGTGTCTCTCTCATTTTGTTGGTACCTTCCTGCGCCAAGTTTTCAACAGATTCGCAGGAAAATTCTCTGAAAAATCAACGGTGAAGAATGGCTCTATCACGCTTATCATCTCGATCCAGCGGCGTCTCTCGTCCACTCTCAGCCGCCTTCAGCCGTTTCATCTCAACGGACACCACACCGATAACGATCGAGACTTCCCTTCCCTTCACCGCTCACTTATGCGACACACCGTCTCGCTCCGTCGAATCTTCTAGCCAAGAGCTCCTCACTTTCTTCCGCACCATGGCTCTGATGCGGCGGATGGAAATCGCGGCCGATTCGCTTTACAAAGCGAAGCTAATCCGAGGGTTTTGCCATCTCTACGACGGACAGGAAGCCGTAGCAATCGGAATGGAGGCCGCGATCACGAAGAAGGACGCGATTATCACGGCGTATCGCGATCACTGCATTTTCCTAGGTCGCGGCGGTTCGCTCCACGAGGTTTTCTCGGAGCTTATGGGGAGACAAGCCGGTTGCTCTAAAGGGAAAGGTGGATCGATGCATTTCTACAAGAAGGACTCGTCGTTTTACGGCGGGCATGGGATCGTCGGTGCTCAGGTTCCGTTGGGTTGTGGAATTGCTTTCGCCCAGAAGTATAATAAAGATGAAGCTGTGACGTTTGCCTTGTATGGTGATGGTGCTGCGAATCAGGGGCAGCTTTTTGAAGCTCTGAATATATCTGCTCTTTGGGATTTACCTGCAATTCTAGTCTGCGAGAACAATCACTGTAAGCTATTTTTCTTCTTCTTCTTCTTTGTTTGTTTTCGTTTGAGGTTTCTTTATGGCTTAATGATATCTGTTTTGGATTGAATGTGATTTTGGGTAGATGGAATGGGAACTGCTGAATGGAGAGCTGCTAAGAGTCCATCTTACTATAAGCGTGGTGATTACGTTCCTGGATTGAAGGTAAGCTTTGAGTTTAATTTGTAACAACTAAGAATGTGAGGCTTGTTGAGATGAAATCAGCAAATTAGAAATAAGAAATGGAGGATTTGTACAGATTAAGTCCATTTTTGTGAAGTTGCAAGTTAGACAATTGGCTCTTAAAAGGTCGTCTTGTTTTCCTGTATACTTAGTAGTAGAATAGCTCTCTCATCTGTGAATCGTATGTGATTATCTTTGAATTAGGGAGGAGAAATTTTACTTGCCTCTTTATCTATTAGCGGATTAGTGTCATTTCTTGAATCATGTGAATTGCTTAGTTCCGTATAGAAAACTGGTAGATGCAAAGTATGAGCAACTTTCTTCGACACAGGTTTCATTCGTAATGAGCCTACAGTTTAGGGCTGAAATGCAATTTTTTTCATGGATAACGATGCCATAAGTCATCTATCATTAAACAGAGCCTTGGTGCATCATATAGATTGGCTGTGTTATTAACTCTCTTTTGAGTTTGACCGGTCGCTGGATTGATGGAGTTTTTGGGATGAGCAGGTAGATGGTATGGATGCATTTGCTGTCAAACAAGCATGTGCATTTGCTAAGGAACATGCCTTGAAGAATGGACCAATCGTAAGTTTGTCTACCTTTTTAGTGTTTTCAGCTTTTTTTGTTGCTCCCCTTTGTCCTCTGTCGCATTTTGTGAATTTACCTTGAACAGTATCTAGCTATCCTGTGGAATCTAGCAACAACACAGGATGAAAAGTCATTCATTCTTTTTGCATCTTCTAGTTGAAACTTACATTCCTTTAGCTCCTTTTTGTGGACCGGAACTGCTAATTTAATCTTCGATAGAAACTAAGCATCGTTATACATCAAAGAATTGTGTTTTTTGATACTGCAATTGCTGATACAACATAGAAGTAGCTTTGGCTTTCCATTTCTTTTCTGCTGTTCTCTCTTCTCCTCCTATCATATGAATTACATGAGAATTGATTCATTATCTTCTGTATACAGATTCTTGAGATGGACACATACAGGTACCACGGTCACTCCATGTCTGACCCTGGGAGCACATACCGTACACGAGATGAGATCTCAGGTGTGAGGCAGGTTCGTTAGTCTCTTTATCTGCGACTGCACAGACTATATATCTTGGTTGAGGATGTTATCGTGAATCTCAATTATATTGATGATGATGTGGTGTTGTGTAACTACTCAGGAACGAGATCCAATTGAGAGAATAAAAAAGCTGGTACTAGCTCATGACCTAGCAACCGAGAAGGAGCTTAAGGTAATATCCTTTTAACATCAAGACTCTTCTTTCTACATCCTACACAATGTTCAGATGTTTGTTTCATGATATAACTTCAGGATATGGAGAAGGAAATTAGAAAAGAAGTAGACGATGCCATTGCCAAAGCTAAGGTAACAAATAACAGTCACATTACCTCTCTTCCATTTGTGAATTCAACTTTCAAAGCTTAAGACATGAGACACTTACGCTTAAATTTATGTGCGGTTTCAGGATTGCCCAATGCCAGAACCTTCTGAGCTATTTACCAATGTGTATGTGAAAGGATTTGGTACCGAGGTAAATTACTAATTACATATTCTGCCATTTTTACACTTTCTTCAATATATATATTTATGTCTTCTTTATTGACTGTTTTCTTTTTTCTTCTGTTGGCAGTCATTTGGACCTGACAGAAAAGAAGTCAAAGCTTCGCTTCCATAAAGCTCTTGTCCGCTTAACTGCCACGTTGCATGATACAGTGCTTGATAGGGAAGCTGTGGTGAATAAAAAAAGTGTTTAGGCAGATTGCTTTAATGCTCTGTTCTTTTTACTTTTGATTGTGTATTGAGTTTTTATGTCTCTCTATCTTTACATACATATAAAGAGAAACATACGATTCTTGTGAAGTGCTTTTGTGTTTGTATCTAAGCTTTTCTCGTTCTCGATACATCATAATATAAACTTTAAAACCACTTTAATTGAGTCTCCTGTTTATTAATATCAGAGGTTACATATTCAAGCACTTGCGTTGAAGTTATCAAAATGCAATACACAAACAAAGACCAAACGGTTACTTCTTCTGTTTGATTTCTTCGTCTTCCAAAAAAAGAATAAACATTTTTAATTCAACAACAAAACAGGGCAAAAACCATAAGAAACCATCTTCAAAGAACCTAAAAAATCATTTTTTACCAACATTTTCCCTAATCATCTATATACATATAACAAAAGTAAAGAATCTTTTTTTTTTTCCTTTTTGGTTTCCAGGTTAATCAAGAATCTGAGTCTGATTCGCTTGAACTGTACCTCGAATGCTCTGTCATGAAATTCGGAGGCAAAATCGGAAACCTAACCGCATTTCTCTGCGGTGCAGCAGCAGCAGCATCAACGCTCCGTGTTACTGCTGCCGCCGCCGAACTCGACGCTCCTGCAACCACTGCTGCTGCGACAGGTCTCTGTTTCCGTTGATTCCTCGCAATCTCGCTACAAGCATTATCAACCATCCCCAAGAAATCTCGAATAATCACAAACAGCTGAAACAAATTCCTCTCTTTCAACGCACCAGCCTGGTAATAATTCGTCGTCTTCTTCACCAACTCCATAATCCTCAGCTGCTCCTCCGTAATAACCCTAAGCTCTTCCTCAGCAGATTCAAAGAAGCCTCTCAGCTTCGTCAAACACCCATCTTCTTTCCCTTTGCTCTGATCCAACAACCGTCTCGTCTCCTTCACTCTCGTCCCCAACGACAACGTCGTCGCAACAAACGAGTCGTAGTCAATCCCAGCCGCTTTCTTCACGTTCGTAAACTCAGAACTCAAACCGCCGATAATCGGTAAACCAAGCTTGATAAACTCAACCTCCTGCTCTTCTCTAGACGCATCAGCAACAATATCATTCACCTTACTCATCGCAGCTCGCTTTCCTTCAGACCTCACAACTTCTTCAACAACAAAGTGAAGCAGAGTCGTCTTCCCATCAACACTCTTCACATCTGACAACTTCCTCAGAGCCGTTAGGTTAAAAGCCTGCGCGTTCCCTCTCGCCGTTCCCGCGTTCATTCTGTTCCCAGCTTTCAAGATCGCTTCAAGAAGCTTCATGAACAGTCCACGAGCGCGAAGCTCGTTGCAAGCAGACTCAAGCGTCTGCAAAGATCCCTTCTGGTGAGCAACCTCTGATCCATAGTTAATCTTGAAGAGCATGACATTAAACCTGTTAAACGCTGAAGGAACCGCTCGCAAGATGTGAAACAGTAGAGTCTCTGCGTCGGCGAGTTTCGTCGTGTCACCGTCGTACGCTAAGATCTCTGCCTGCTCTTCCGGCGTCGGAGCTATCCCGGAAAGCTTCTCGAGGGTGTCGGAATCGGCTTCGTGGCCTTCTGTTAACAAGTCGATGATCTCTTCCTTGGTCATGCCTAGAGATTTAAGCACGATTGCTTTGTTCTGAGATTTCCGAGGATCGAGAATGTAATGTGAAGTCGATGCAGTTGGTTTCTGCGGTGCGTTGTCTGATTCGCTTGGCTTTCGAGCGCCGACGTATCCGAACAGAGCTTCCATGAGATCACCATCGAAGCTAACAGGAAGAAACATATGTAAGGCGCAAGAAAGAGACGCACGTTAATAGATTTGTATAATATAAAGTTTATATATGGCTTACTTGAAGGAGCCACCGTCGATTCTGTTCCACACCATTGAACGGCTCGCGTCAGGGTTCATTTTATCCCAATGTAGAGGCTTTAGCTTTGGCTGCGTTGGATCGGAAGTCTCGATTTCCTTTGCTGGTAATTTCGGATTTAAACCGGGCGGTTTAGGTGGTCCGGGTTTCGACATTGGAGGCGGTGGTGGTGCTTTTTTACCTGGAGGAGGAGGTGGTGGAGGTGCAGGTGCTTTCTTAGGTGGAATTGGCGGTGGTGGCGGAGGTGGAGCAGCGGCAGACGGTGGTGGCGGAGGTGGAGCGCCGGCAGATGGTGGCGGAAGCGGCTGTGACGTTTGGTTATTGGGTGGAATTGGCGGTTGTGGCGATGTAGACGATGACGCAATTGCCGCCGTGAATTGACCTGGAGGAAGCGGGAGAGGCGGAGAACGGCCGCCGTTGTTTTGGGTAACCGGATTATACGGCGAAGAAGACGGAAATGAGCCGCCGCCGCCACTGTTTTGGGTAAGCGGATTATACGGTGAAGAAGAGGGAAATGAGCCGCCGCCGCCGGTGTTTTGGGTGAGCGGATTATGCGGAGAAGAGGAGGGAAATGAGCCGCCTCCGCCGGTGTTTTGGGTAAGCGGATTATGCGGCGAAGAAGAGGGAAATGAGCCGCCGCCGATCGGAGCTTGGAATTTGGATTGGGATTGTTTTCCGACGGCGGCGTATTCACCAACGGAAGGTCGCGACGGAGAAGCATGTGAGGTCGAAGAAGAAGAAGGTCGTGACGGAGAAGCAGCAGAGGTAGTAGTAGAAGAAGAAGTGTAATATCTTCCTCCTCCTTCACCACTATTTTTATTATTCTTATTACTATGATCTCGCCGGATTTCACCGCCGGAAGATAACGGAGATTGAGAGTTTCTCACCGGAAACGAAAACCCCTCTCCGGTCGATTCGTCTCCTTTGCCCGATCCTCCGTAAAATCCATCTCCATCGCCGTCGTCCTCGTCTTCTTCGTCTACTCCAGCTCTTCTATATCCGGTTAAACCGGATTTGTCTCCTCTTCCTCCTCCGCCTCCGCCACCGCCTCTTCTAGGTCTAGGGTTTTTCCTAATTTTCCCGCTATTTTCCAACTCCAGAAGCTTTCTCCAGTAAACCACATCTAATCCTTCGTCATCTACAATTACCGCTTTGAGATTCCCGTCGATTCTTACGAAATCCTCCGGGAAGAGAAAACCCCAGGGAGAAGGCGGTGGAGGTAACGAATCGGAGCCGTCGTCGTAGCGGTTTCTCTCTTCTTCTTCTCTCTTCCCTCCTCGATCTGAGATCCGACTACGAATTTTCTCTTTGACCCGCCTCCGTGAACTACTCCCGCTCTTACGGAATAGGAAAGACATCGCGGCGGTTCTTCACCGGGAAGATATCTCGCCGTAGAACGGAGTTAGAGTAAATCAGAAGGTTCTGATGGATTTGACAAGGAAGAAAAGAGGAAAGATTCAGGAGGAAGAAAAGAAAAGCAAATAAAAATGTGTTGAATGATTCGATGAACATGACAACCATTTCATGATTTAACACAATTAATGATTTTTATGTGAAAAAATACAACTTTTTTTTCATGTTCCAATGTCTTGCTTTGACGAAAACAACCTCCACTAACTCTGCTTTGACGCGGGTCTAACTAAGGGTAGTCTTGTCATTTCAGTAACGCGGACGCGTTGACTTGGTCTTAAGTTTTGGTACTGTTCGAATGTGGAAATGGAAGATGTTTTTGATGTTTGACTTTGTTAATCTAAAATCTTCGGCTACGCGTTGACTATTATGTCTTTTTCTTCTTCTTTTTTTGTTTAAAGAAAAAATCAAATAATAACCTATGTGAAAATTTAGTTTATATATTCATACATCTTTTTAAACCTACCGATTTAGTTATCTACTAGTGTTGTAAGTTGTAACCGACCCGTGACCTTTTCTTCGTTATTACCTATAAAAGTTTTGGCAAATGTGTGGATGTTGTAGACGAAACCCAAAAGTAATCTGGAAGAGAAAAAGTTGAGGCAAGTGTAAATGTGATCTTAGGATGTTTGACTTTATGAATCGATGTTGCTTAAGCAGTAGCTGTTGAGAAGTTGAGAAATTTAATCCTTTTGGTCCCATCTCATATATAAAGCTGAAAAAGACTTATTCGAAACTCTTTTTGTAAGAACTTAAAAATCTATATTTAGTATTTGACACTTATAAAGTCATGATCCTTATTTTAAAGAACGAATGTGATATAGATTTTTATAATTTTCTTTAACAAGTTTTTGGCATTTTATTAGCAAAGCAACAAAATGAACTAGTATAAGGGGGATATATAAGAACCCAAAAAATGATGGTCCAATGTGTCGGATGTATGATACAAAAAGAATATGACTAGATTGATGTTGTAGCTTCATTCAATATGTTTATTCAATGTCAATGCTAATGTTAATTATAATCTGTTGAATAGATTGTATGTATGTACGTACATCAAACATCTATGTTTTGTGGAAATATCATTTTATTTCGATGTTGGAATGAAGAAAGACTAATATATTCAGAATGAAAACATCCACATCCATAGATCTATCCATAACACCAATATATTCTTCATCGCCGAAATGACAGGAATCACAATTGTTGCAAAATATCCGCCAACCACATGGGATATCAAGGACACAGCAACAACCAAAATCCCATCTCCAGCACCATAGTCATGGCATTTGCCCTTCATCTTGACAAAAGAAACCATTCATAGAACATGAAGAAGGAGCAACTAGCTAACCAATCAGCCCATACAACTTTTTGTTGCCTATCAATGATACCGTAAACAAATGTTGGTTTTTTTTTAAAAACGATTTAGGAGATTTCTGGTTCTTAAAGAGCAAGACCAAACAAAAGAAAGTACACAAAGAGCATAAATAAACCGATTTAGGAGATTTCTGGTTCTTAAAGTACACACCATAAGACCAAACAAAAAAATCTCCCATCAAAGTACACAGAAGCAAGACAAATATTTAGAGAGAAAACCTAACATACCGAGTGATGAGGCCCTTTCCCATACAAACCCTTCGTCACCATCCTCCGTCCCATAAGAATCCTGGAATTCGAAAAAGAACCTGCCTCTTCTGTTACTCCCACGGGCCACCTAGAGCATAGCATGATTATAGTCTTCCCTCACTTCCCCTTCTTCAGGGTCATACACAATGGCGGAGGCAGAAACTTTTCTTATAGGGGGCATTGAAGATTATAATGAATTGACATTACGGGGAAGCAGCTGTTTATGAATATGTAGTAAGTTGGATAGTGAATTGAAGATTTTCATGTGCACAAAATATTCACACGACTTTAAATAAGTAGATAAATCAATAGGGAAAGGATGAAAAAAAATAAAAATTATCAAAGAAATAAAATAAAAATATATATATGTAATGAATTCTTTTTTCATTTTCTATTTCCCAGTGCATGGTATGACTAGATTGATTTTGTAGCTTCATTCAATATGTTGATTAAATGTCAGTGCTAATGTTAATTATAATCTGTTCAATAGATTGTATTGTATATACGTACATCTAACATCTATGTTAAATATCATTTTATTTCGATGTTGAAATGAAGAAAGACTAAATTTACATCTTTTGTTCCCCGTCCAAAAGATTACGAGCCGAAAGTCTTAACGTGGAGAGTGATCAAATGCAAGTATGGATTGTTTACATTATGAAGCTTGAATCCTTAAAAAATATCTCTAGTAGTGAGCTTTGATTTGAGATTTGAAGAGTTTAGTTTTATCCCCCCAAAAAAGACAAACTTTGAAAGAAGTGGAGATAGCTTTGTCCGAATGAAATGTTTTCAGTCATGTACAGAGTCGTATGTCTGTTATGTTTTCAGTCATGTACAGAGTCGTATGTTTATCCATAGATGAATGCTGGTGTTTGGCTAAATTAATTTTTCCGTTTAGTCTCATTAAGATCCGACATAGAATGACTCTTAAGAGGACTATTTTTTACCAGAAATTCTGCAAAGAATGAGACTATTAGTCTAAAGAAAAGCATAATCATCATGAAAAGGGTTAGAAGAAAGGAGACTATCGGGACCAATTCAAAGTATATTATGATTTCAAAGGAACGAGATGGTAAATACACTCTTTCTCTTCCTTTGACAACTTCATCTTCATCATTTGTTTTTTGCTTAACACTTTTTCATAATTTGTCTTCCCAAGCTAATCTCTGATTTCTATTTGTTCCGCATATCCTTTAAGAAATTCAATAAAAACCGTTCTAATTCACCATTGAATTGACAAAGAGAAAAGTGAGCTCTTTCATCCAATGGCAACACTTGGTTCAACAATTTGGACTGTGAAGAGGATAAAGTTGGAGATCAAGAAGTCAAAAACCAACACCTATACTGACAAATCCTAGGCCTCCCAAATTGCTTGAAACCAAAAATTATGAGTACCTTTGAACTACCTTCTCAAATGAAGAAAGATTTCGATCCTTTGACTAATCAGCGTCTCAAACATTCACTCTAATTTCTGGAGCTATAAGGAAGAAAGCATATATGCCTCATCAGAGATGGAATTTGGAGATATACTTTGTTCAATAGAGCTCTGTTCCTAAATATTTGTCAAAGAGTCTTGAAACTTTTGAGTTTTCAAAGTACATGCACAAGAAGAGAGAGATTTCTTGAGTTTCTTTTTCAAACACGCTTGTTGCTTGAAGTCTACATCAATCATCCATCATGATCCATGATTTGTCACATTCCGAATTTTGGGTTTGTTTTGGTAATATGTTGTACTGTGCTTTGCTACTCAAGTTTCTTATTAATTTGTTTAGTTGGTTTCAGTGAAAAAATATTTTTTTTGCTCTCTCTCTCTCTCTCTCTCTCTCTCTCTTAATGGTCGAGAAGAAAAGAAGGAAGTCTAGGTCGAGGAGGGTAACAATTTACTGAATTTTGTAAAGATATGGCGAGAATCAGTGATTTGTCTCATGAGTTGCTAATTAAGATATTATCCTTTCTTCCAAAAAAAAGTTGCAGTCTCCACAAGCATTCTGTCGAAACAATGGCAGTTTCTTTGGATGATATCGCTGGGCCATTGGCTTCACGTGATGTATTATCATTGCCGAGTAGTTTGTATGCGGGCAAATCGCTCATGACTTTGAAACTTGAATGTGAGAACATTCTTGTGGATGTTCCTCCAACTGTTTATCTCCCTTCCTTGAAGAACTTGCAACTTCGATGTCTGACTATCGCATTGTCTTGTACTTGAAGATCTGCTTGTTGAACGAAATGGTGAGGATGACAATGTGAGAGCGATAGTTGTTAACGTCCGGTCTTTGCAGAGGTTATCCTTTGAGATTGATGGTGACTGTTCTTCTGATGAGTATGTAACAAGTACTGTGACACAGTGTGTGTATAGTAAGCCAAGTTCTTTTACTTGTGTTCTGGTTTACCAAATCACAAATTAGAATTGAAGTATTTTAATTCACATGTTTTGTCACTAGTAACCACAAAAGCTTTTACGAGTCTCTTTAAAACTAGCTAACCAGAGATTGCTAGAAGTTAAAGAAAGTCGTGAATAAATAATCTGTGATATCAAATCCAAGTGTCGCGGGTTAATGTAGACATGATTTCCGAACGAAGCTAGAGTTTTCGGGAGCGGTTTAGTTGTTGGTTGACATAATGAATTGTGGTAAGTGAAAGTCTTTTTTTCACTTGTGTTCTTGTTTACAAAATCAGCAAATTACAAGTGCATTGTTTAACATAAATGCTTTTTTTGGAGTGATCACATATTAAAGATGAAAAAGTTCGTGGGCAGGCTCGTACGTATACTAGTGTTGAGTCTCATAAACGTACTAGTGTTGCAGTTGCTCATTGTTCTTTAGAATTAGCTTTTGTAAAAAAGAAAAAATTGCGCATCGATTTGTTAAATCTTTTTCCTGCACATCTCCTTCTATTATTTTCTTCTTCCATCTTCTTTTTATTCTTTAGTTTGTCATCTCTCTTCCATTTCACTCGTCGTTATATCAACTGAACTAATTCATAAACAAAATCTAACAAGATTCTTGTTACAAGAATAACAAAAATTTATAATTCGCCACATATAACCATTTAAGAGAAGTGTTTACAATATATTATGTATAGATTATAATATTACAAATCTAAGTGATTGAGTCTACTGTGTTCATTTTTTATTTTTTTGAATGTGTTAGAATTTATTGGACCAAAAAATCATTTTTACAATGACCGTGACTGTTTCTGAATTTAATTGAACTTTAAGATAAAGATAGCAAATAAGAGCCAAACCAGAACTTTAAGTGTTGTATAAATATTATAATTTGATAAATTTTCAAATATTTTTGATGTTTGAAAATTTGAGAAAGAT